GCCCGAGCAGTAGCCCTGTGGTGAGGCCCCCCCCCCCCCCCATTCTCCCATCCTTCTGGTGCCACTCCCTTTTGGCAGCACCTGGGATGCATGTCCCCTTTGCCCACCACATGGTATGCTACTGCTCACAATATATTTGCTCCTTGGGACAGTCAGCAGTAGCTTTCCCTAGCAGAAGGTTGTCTGACTTACTTTCAATAAACCACATTATAGTTTCTGGACGGTGGCTCTGACTCACTGATCAAGCTACCAAACAACATGCAGATGAGGATTCAGGTGTTTATTTGCTTGATCTGTATGTCTGCAAGAGAGAAGCTTGCACAAATCCCACCTGCCTTTTCTTGATGTGTTTGATTTTTAGTACTTGCTTTTATGCTTTTACCTGAAGGCTGGGTGCCTGGTAACCAAGCAGTGAGGATGTCATGTTAGCCCAGGTTATAGCAAATCCAATCAGTCCCTCTCTCACATGTACTCTGAATCCTAACCTAAAAGGCTATGAAAGAAGCCAGACAGAGAGACCATCATTTCCACCCAATACATCAGATTAGCCTAAATTATTCACATTTTTAGCTGTGGATAATTCAAACTGATAAAGTTGCTTTTCCAGTGATTAGTTGCTTCCACCTACTTGTTTGCTCTTTGAATCCTTCCCTAGTGACTCAGTGATGGCTGAGGTGTCTAGGAAACTGATTTTGAGAAAAAGATGTGGTATTAGATTGAGGCAGTTAGAAAATGGAAAGGAAAAAGTCAAAAGAAAATAGCTTTGAATTTATTTTGTCACGGGCTGCCCATGACTCCCAAGGGAGGAAGAAGTCAAGACAATTGGTTTACCACATTACTTCTGCATTCACTGGAGCTTGCCATGGCTCTAAGACATCAGTTGTAAGACATCTGAAGTGTTAGTTCTTTGGGAGAATTTTGTCTTTGGTCAAAATCTATGTAAAAAGTATGCCCTTACATATAGCCCAATTATGAGGGTTTGATTAGGACTAGAGTAGCACGAAGTACTGTGCTGACCCTACAGAGCGGTAAATATCACCCTTTCCTAACTACCAAGGGACTTGTTCATTCTCAGGGTGAATAAATTCAAATGGTCAAATAATCTATTCCTCATCCCATGACACATGCTCCTTCAGAACTCCTAATTCGCTGGTCTAAGCCAGGATCTTCTGAGTTCTACTTCTGGATTTTCTGCTTATTTCCTACTTGAAAGTCATTTTATCTGTCTTTAACCTGAATGGATTAAATGGAGGGGAGAAGGGAAATATGGAAGACAGTACAGAGGATTAACACAAAGATGATTGTCTTTTAGAATCAGAATAATAGAAAATTAGGGCTGGAAGGGACCTCAGGAGATCATTTAGTCCAACCTCTGCTCAAAGTAGGACCATCCCCAACTACATCATCACAGCCAAGGCTTTGTCTACCTGGGTTTTAAAAACCTCCAAGGATGAAGCTTCCGCAACCTCTATGGGTAACCTGTTCCAGTGCTTCCTCATAAAAGAGGGTTTTTTTCCCCCTATTGTAACCTAAACTTCTCTTGATGCAACTTGAGACCGTTGCTCCTTGTTCTGTCATCTGCCAACAGTGAAAACAGTCCAGCTCCATCTTATTTGGACCCCACTTCAGGTAGTTGAAGGCTGCTATTAAATCCCCCCCTCAGTCTTCTCTTCTCTAGACTAAATAATCCCTGTTCCCTCAGCCTATCCTCGTAAGTCATGTGCCCCAGACCCCTCACCATTTTCATTGCCCTCCATTGAACTGTCTCCAATTTGTCTACATCTTTTCTGCTGTGGGGGGCCCAAAACTGGACACAGTACTCCACATGTGGCCTCACCAGTGCCAAATAGACAAGAATAATCATTTGCCTCAATCTGCTGGCAATGTTCCTACTAATGCAGCTAATGTGGGGATACAATGGGAAGGAAAAGACAGTTTAGAGATACAATAAAAGAGACAGTGGCTGAACTAGAGCATGCAGATGAAGAATTTTATGTTTCTCACTTCTCTGTCTTGGTTTCTCTCTCTTCTGCTTTATTTTGCCCATCTCAGTTGTTTTTTTCCCACTAGCAGCTTATTTCTCATTATTCATTTTTTACCTGCCCAAGACAGTTCTGAAACGTGGACTCTTGGGGCTGTCCCCAGAAAGTAAGTCGTTTGTCTCTGTAATCCAATTAACCCCCATGTCTGGATTTGGATTTTGACATGGCATTTCTGACATAACATGTTGCAGGTATGACAAGCTGAGCTAGGTCTCGGTGTCATGGTATATCAGATCAGAGCAGCCTGACAGGTGGAAAGCAAGACTCCCCGATACCATATAACCTTTGCAGACAGTGAAGCCTCTCATCAATGTGATGGCAGCTGCTAGATTAGGAAGGCAGCCCAGGGGAGGACAGGAGAAAGTGGGGGTGGGGAGGAGGTGGAAGAGAGCCCTTGCCAACTAGCTCTCTGACATATTGTAACAAAAGGTCAGGAGCAGGGTGGCCATGATGCCCTCTGGTGGCCAGGATGCCCCTGTTTCACCCTATCCTTTGAGCATCCTCCCCTTCTGTTCTCCAGCCATGCCTTGGTATAAATATGTACTTGTAAAAGGGAGGCTGCCTCAGGGTTCCCTGAGCAAGATTTCATCTTCTCATGTACTATGACCTAACTGCTCACCTTAAGTGCAATTTCTTGGCTTCCTCATCTCCACAATTAGCCATGTCCAAGCCTCACAGATGTTGCCTATCCAATCAGTCTCCCTTGTTGGGACCTCAGATCTCTTAACCTCTGCCCCTTTTCTCTGGGTGGGCCACTTAACTCAGATCCACTACGTTGGACCCAGCTTCTGGGCTCCACCCCTAGTCTCACCCTATCAGGCTCTAGGCTTAACCCCTCTCAGGCTTCAGGCTCCTGTCCCTGATTCTCACCCCTCTGGCCCAGCTTAGCTACAACTTGCAGTGCTTTCTCAAGCTTTGGCTTCACCTATTCTCAGGTGCCATCAGTCACTGTCAAGCCTGGCCCCTAGCTGGGCTCAAAGTAGTTATTGGTCCCTTGGGCACCACTAGGACCTCCAAAACAACCCCTTACAGTCCCACCCAAACCACTGGTATAAACTGTAACAAAGGAATAAGCCCTCTGGCTATAACACCAACAAACCCACTCTGGGTTTGAACATAAGCAGTGGCTACTTATCTGTACAACCAGCCTTCCCTTTATCATGGGTCACATTCCTCTACAAGGCAGCAGCATTCTGCTTGCCTCTCCCAGGGTAACACCAGTGCCAGCTAGGAGCTTTCCTGGCCCCTCCTACTTTTGATCCCCTTCTTCTGCAGCCTCCAGGGCCAGCCTGCCTGCTCTGGCTCAGGCCCTGAGCTTATATACACACTAAGCCCTGCCCCATTCTGGTCAGGTGACTCAGCAGCCATCACAGTTGTGTTCATTCTGACCCTAAAGCCCTGCCTGCCTGCCCTTGTAGCTGCTTAGCTACTGGTTGCAGCTCTAAGCCCTTGAGCAGCCTAGCTGTCTCTCCTTTGTGCTTCTTTCTGCTTGTTTTTGGCTACAACTCGGCTAGGAAGTAGCTAGTTTCTTAGCTGCTAGATTTCCCTGAGCTAGCTCACCTTGCTGCAGTTTTCTCTTAACAGAAGTCCTCTGGCTCCCTGTTATACATATATGAAAGGTTGTATCCTGATTCCACTGGACCCAGATGCATTCAGAACAGAGAGAAGTCAGAACTGTTCTGCTTTCAGGTTATCTAAATCACTCTATCACTCTGCCACAGTTGGAGCAGCCAGAGGTCATCGCTAACCTTTGCTGGTAGGCCGTGGTTGGTCTTCAAGGGATTATCTACCAGCTGGGCCTGCTTTCCTGTCCACTGCATTAGGGCTCACTGGGGATAGCGACTGAGGACCTAGCCAGTAGTGCTCTGGGAGTCTCTGACACTGAGTTAAAGCACATCTGTCCAATTCTGGCCACTCTTCATTGTGGTGTAAGCGTCATTCCATGAAATTCTTGTCTTGGAAACTAATTAGAGTGAGCTATTCTTGGCTGGACCTTTCTGTGATTTATTTTCTGTGAGGCACTGTCACACACAATAAAGCTGTTGCTTATGCCCTGGTCATCTGTTTCTTAGCTGAGCAGTGATACAACTTCTGCGGTAAACATGAGGCTTATAAGAGGCTAAATACTTGGAAATGATGAATTGTGACCATGATCATAAAGCGCCAGCATAGGCAATGAGAGGAGGGATTTTGCCAACTATAGCCAAGTGCAGACTTTATATTTTTAGCAGTCTAAGTGGTCAAAAATTGGTAAACCCATAACAGAGCAGAAGTTCAGCACACAAACGCTGGTCTAAAACTGGAGGAACCCAGTCTAAGATAGACCTGTATTGATGTGCACTCAAAATCAATTTAGGTTAGACCAGTACATCAAACTTCAATAACAGATCCCCTATTGATTCAAGTTAGGTCACCGTCCACCAGCATCCCAGACTCCTTTGTGACCCCCCACTGGGCCTCCTTTGCAGGAAAGTGCACTAGTACTCGCCCTGCTCTCAGCTGCTCCCAACGGCCCCATCCTTAAGCTGCCACAGAGCCACATCAGCACAAACCTTTTCCAGCACAGACCCTTTCCACAGCCCTGCCTCCTGCCTCCAGCTACTGTCAACCACAGACAAGTAATGCGGAGGGGAAGGGAAGTGTCTGTGCCTAGTTGGGTTCCATGTGTGGGTTCCACACACATACAGAGAGCCTGGTCCGACATGCTAGAAATTCAGTGGGTCAGAGTAGAATCAATTAATTGAGTCTGCTGGAGCACATACCTTGACATGCTCTGGTAGCCTTGTGCATTACGTGTATTAGTGGTGCAGCACATCTCTGCTCTGAGAAAATGGTGGTGGTGCACTTCGATGTGTTTTATTTCAAAGCATTTTGCTGGCATTTTCTCAGCACAGGGACATGCTGCACCACTGACACACATGATGTATGGACACTTTATTAATGCTATTCACTGATTAAAAGCACCCGGCACCATGTCAAAAGCACATGTAGAGTCTGAGCATAAGGCTGCACCTGCTCATGGGGGTCCTCCTGGGCTCAATTCAGGTATCTGTGTACATCATGGGGTGCTGTATGACAGGGTGTATTCAGGGACACAGATGCCTCCTTTCCCCCTCCCTGCCCACCTCCCACACTGCCTTCCTGCAGCTGACAGATGCCTGTGGCTGACAGACAACACAGCATGTATGGGGAGGAGGGAATGCTCGCCCATGCCCAGCAGCCAATCTGGGGTGGCCCAGGTCCTGGGCTGCTCTCACAATATCCAGCAGCCTGGGGAGCCAACAGGCCCTGCAGGGAGGCATGCAGGAGTGCCCCCAACCTGCAGACCTTGGCCAGTGCAGGCAGCTTGCATGCCCCCTTCACCCCCACCAAAGGGCAAACATGTATTCTGTTCACTACCATTCTAACTCATGCCTCTTCCAGAAAACCATGTAGCTTAGACCGATTCCACCTCGGGTTTTTGAACATCTGTTCTTATCCTGTGTGTCAGTTCTCTACGTGCATGTCACCACTCCTGAAAACCAAGCCTCAGCTCACCCAGAATCTGGTCCTATGTTGGGTGTCGCTGGTAGGTGTTATAAGGTTTTGGCCCCCTTTTGGTCAGTGCCTTGCCCCCCAGCGAAGTCAGGGTGAGATCCGATTTCG